TAGAGTTCTTCACTGATGGATATCGCTACCTCATTCAGATTCTTCCAGCTGCTGTTGTCGCCCCAATGTTTTTCTCCGGAAAAATTGAGTTTGGTGTCATTAACCAGTCAGTGTCAGCATTCAATCATATCCTTGGAGACTTCTCGCTCGTTGTTTATCAGTTTCAAGCTATTAGCGCCTTTTCAGCTGTCATTGACCGACTAGGTAGACCAATTATGCACTCTTTAATAATGTTCTACACTACTTGTTGCATAAAAATTGCACTTGTTGTAGGCTGGGATTGTCCTTTTATGCATCTAACCATATCAGGACTTCTTACAACTCAGGTGAATTTGATGATCTTTTGGATAACAACATCTCCAGAGATCCCTCTCAGCTGGAAGAGATTGAGCTGACGTATCAGAGTGAACTTGAGCCAAGTTTTACGTCTTCACTGCTTGACTCCAATGGCTCAATCCAGTCTCGACAGAACCAAAAACTTCTGGAGATCGAGGAGCTCACTCTCCAGACACCAACAAATGGAACCACTTTGGTTCACAGCTTAGTTGCAGATATATATGACAAAGATCATCTACTGGTTAGTTCAGTCTGACTATTTCTGTTTCAAGCATGTTGACTGGTAGATGCTAAGGTAGGTATAAATGCCATTGAACAGATAATGGGTCCTAGTGGGAGTGGTAAAACTTCGCTCCTAAGAGCAATGGCTGGTCTTTGGAGGTCAGGGAAAGGAAAAATCACGTTCTACCTCAATTCCCAGGATGATTTTGAACAGGAGAAATATGATAGTCAGAGAAAAAGAAGTTCGGGAGACGTATTGTTCCTTCCACAAAGGCCTTATATGGTTCTGGGAACTCTGCGTCAGCAATTGCTTTATCCGACCTGGAGTAGTACTATGGAGGCAACACCTGGTGGCAGTCAAATAGACGGTACTCAGTTCAAAATTGTGACTAGTAACACCAATTTATTTCACCTCAAGGAGATTATCTAACCCAGAAAAAGAGACTGCCTCAAACATAGCGTCGGCAACCATTTGAAGTTTAAGAAAATGCATTGATTGTGTCAGGTTCACAGCCGAAAACAGATGATCTGATGCGGACTTTGGAGAATGTTCGTCTCGGACATATAGTGGAACGCTTTGGTGGTCTTGAGTCGTTACAGGAGTGGTCCAGTGTGCTCTCACTTGGTGAGCAGCAGCGCCTCGCCTTTGCACGGCTATTGCTGTGTCAGCCAAAGCTGGCACTCTTGGATGAATCCACTAGTGCTTTGGATGAAGCTAATGAGGTATTTGGCGGCTTAGCCTCTCTCATGTGTCATGTAGAATATGGTGTAACGCAATACGGTTGAGGCATTTATTTCTCTTGATGCGTAGGCACACCTCTACCAGCAAATCCAGGCAGCTGGCATTACATATATAAGCATCGGGCACCGGCAGACTTTAACTAAATTCCATAACAAGATCTTACACATCTCAACGGCAGATCCCAAGAGCATGGAGCGTAACTGGAGAATGGAAGACGCGAATGCCAAAGATTCTTTGTCCGGGACATTGAGTCAATAAGTGAAAAAACCTGATTATTTACATAGAGAGACAGGATAAGGTAAATGCATTGTGTAGTTGATTTGAGAGGTCCCTGAAACGTACATGCAAGAAACACTCTTTTTGTATATACATTAGTTTGCAAGTATATTGACCTTCACTCAAAAGTAGCGAAAGATGCAAAAAAAAAAAAAAAGAGACTGATACAGATTTGCTTTCCTGGTCTTTTTGTCGTCTCTCTGCCGGCATGTACGACACGCACAAAGCCAAGTTTGAGTTGTCAGGAGGAAGCACATCGTTATTTATAAAAGACCAAAGAGGTTGCGCATATTATATTTATATGCTCGTTTCTTTGACAGTTTTGTTTCCCTCCAACTCAACAAGTGGTGGGCTCAATTCGGCCCAGTAGGGAAAAGCCCAATAGAATGAATGAGAAAGGTATACTTTACTCTTGACGAAGGAAGAAGGAAAGGGAACGAAAATGATGGTGACGAAGGAATCCATTGAAGTGATTGCTCAGAGCATTGGACTCTCCATCCTTTCACCCGATGTCTCTGCCGCTCTTGCTCCCGATGTCGAGTACCGCGTCCGAGAGGTCATGCAGGTATCATCACTCTCTCTTATCTCCACTTCCCTCTTTCTCCCCCTCCCCTTCCCTTAATTTCTCGCATTTGCAGGAAGCTATCAAGTGCATGCGCCATGCTCGCCGGACCACTTTGATGGCTCATGATGTCGATTCTGCCCTTCATTTCAGGAATTTGGAGGTTTTTTTTTCTTCTATTCATGTCTTGTCTTCTCCCGATTTCATCACACTTGACCCTGATTTTGACCTTTTCTCTTCTTCCTAGCCTACTTGCGGCTTTACCACCTCGTCAACTGTGCGGTTCAAGAGAGCTCCTGACCACAGAGATCTCTACTTCTTAGATGACAAAGATGTCGAGCTCAAGAATGTGAGCAAATGTTGGTTGGGCATGAAGATCAAATCAGTCACGAGTGTTGTTTAGTCGAACTTCCTCTTGTGCAGGTTATCGAAGCTCCTCTACCAAATGCACCTCCTGATGCTTCTATCACCTCTCATTGGTTGGCCATTGATGGTATTCAACCATCCATTCCACAAAATTCTCCTCTCCTAGGTAATTGTTATGTAATCCTTTCTTGGCATTTTGTCTTGTGGAAGAATTCGCATCCTCCTCAACTCCGTCTTCCCTGAGAATTTTGTAGCCATCACTGACGTTAAACGGTCCGAGTATAAGGAGGATGGCCTGCCTGCTAGACATGTGCTGTCTAAGGAGCTTCAGGTACTTTACTCTCTCTGATGGTATACCTTTGAGGCTGTATTCCTCTCTTGCCCTATATACCTTTCTTGCTCTCGTTGCAGATTTACTTTGATAAAGTCACGGAGTGGGCTTTGACTCTATCTGGTTCCACCGTCTTCAAACAAGCACTCGTCAGCTTAAGAACTGATCCGGGGCTCCACCCGTTGGTTCCTTTCTTCACTTGTTTCGTAGCTGAAGAGGTTGTGTTTTGTAATCCAACATCTCAAGTCTTTTGGTTTTATCCTAATTTGACATCTTCTGCCACATTTTTGTACCTCTTTTGTGCGTACAACTTCATCAGATTGTGCGGAACATGGACAATTATCCAGTCTTGCTGGCTTTGATGCGCCTTGCTAGAAGCCTCCTTCATAACCCTCATGTACATATTGAACCATATGTAAGTTTTGTGGCTATATCCTGCGACTCTATTCGTAACTCCGGTTTTGCCTTGTTTCTTCACCCTCCATTCATATCTACTCATGTCGTGTGTTCTGTTCAGCTACATCAATTGATGCCGTCTGTTATTACTTGCCTCATTGCCAAGCGCTTAGGGAAAAGGTTGTCGGATAATCACTGGGACCTGAGAAACTTGGCAGCCAGTACAGTGGCTTCAACATGCAAAAGGTTAATGTTACATTATCGCTGTTTGATTTCACGAATCTTGTAGAACCACGCAACTGCTGTGGCATCGAGAGCCTTTTCCTTTCTTGTCAATGTTGAGGATTTATTTGGCATATTCCATAACCTTGCAAAACAGGCTGACAGTCCCCTTACTATATATAGATTAAACACAAAAATGATAAGACATATGATATGTAGCATGACCTGCATTCATATTAGTGAACCTTTTTTACAGGTTTGGACACGTTTATCACAACTTGCTGCCACGTGTTACAAGATCACTGCTTCATACTTTTTTGGACCCAACCAAGGCACTACCACAACACTATGGGGCAATTCTAGGGATGGTAGCCCTTGGGCTTAATGTGGTACTTGTTCTTGATGCTTGATTATCGTAAGGAAGAGTGGCACTTTAGGAAGTGAACCTAGGATTTCCCATAAGAAAGCATAAGCGTATATCAGTAGAGGCACGATTCGATACCCTCAATGAGTCTATCAAACCTGCAATTGAACCTTAATCGTTTGGTATATTTAAAGAGTCCTCTCTTACCCCTTAGGATATATTATTTGGTCACTCGTAAGGATTTTTTATATGCTTTACCCCTCTGTGTAGGTTCGCTTTGTTGTACTCCCAAACCTAGAGCCGTATTTGCTACTTCTTTTACCTGAAATGGTACCTGAGAAGCAAAAGGACGAAGGAAAGAGGCATGAGGCTTGGCTCGTTTATGGAGTGTTGATGGTGAGTATGCTTTCTAGCGTGATACATATAAATTACGTAATCTGTTTGCTTATATCTCGTATGACCTAACACGCAACAGAGCATATAACATCCAACTGTCCACAGGTTGCAGCTGGTCGATGCATGTATGAACGGCTTAAAACATATCAGATACTACTGTCTCCTCCAACTCGCTCTGTCTGGAAGACAGATGGAAAGCTCACCAATCCCAGGCAGAGTATAAACTCTTATCTTTTTTTTTTTCTTTTTTTCTTCCAAACTCAGAGATACAGGGACGTCCATAATTAAGAGTCTTTTATTTTTAACTTGGGCAAGGTAAACGCAAAGCAAGCAGTGACAACTTAACTCATCAACCTCCACTGAAGAAGATAGCATCAGAGGGCATTATGCAAATGAGCTCCACACAGACGCTGATGCACGGAACCACAGTAGGGCTTTCCGCACTCCCTCAACAGTCGCTGGTCGGAAGGGATATTGCTCCCAAGACTTCAGCTACGCTGGACACTGACGTAGACAACTTTATGTTTCCTCTTTTCGAGTATTTTGGGGAGAGCATGCTTATGTTCACCCCCAAACATGAGCTCAGTTTCTTCTTGTAATTGAGTATTGGCATGCACGTGTTTGTAATACAGATATATCCACATATTTTTGTTCATTGGAAAACTTTATAATCGGGCATTTTGCGAGAGGTAAAACAAACCCTTGGTCATTATCTTACATAGGCATTTGCATGTGTACATTCATCATAACTTGTCCTGGATCACACATCTACACCGGACTTTCCGTGCTACTCTTCCTCTCCATCTCCACTGTTAGTTGTGAAGAACGGTGTCAGAAAATTCTTGTCCAACGCGGTGAATGACGTAGTGCTGCCAAGTTTTGTTGAGTAAGACCCACGAAATGCAACAACACTTTCTACTCAGGAAAACATACTAAAGCCTTTCGCTTACTCTTACCTTTTGTGAAACTCTTTCAACTTCATCTTGAACCTGCTTCCTGATGATGACGTATCCTCATCCGATGAAGCTCCAATGCTAAAAGGAGGAGGGATGTACCGAGGATTCTCCTCAAAGCCCTGACCACGTAGCTGGGTGCGTTAGAAATGTACATACACAGATATAGTTCAAAGGTATTACAGATTAGATCGTAGAGAGTTTACGTCAGACATGGAGTCATCAAGATCATCACCTACAACTTCCAAAGCCTCCAGCATTTTACCTGTTGAACCTCCTATTAGTAAAACCTGAAATATTAATGCCACGGATAAGAAATCAACAATGGTTGAGTATATATACTACCGTTGGAAATGGAGAACATAAATGCTTCATGGAGAGAGTACAGAACTTACTGTGACAACAACAATGGTTGTGGTTGCAGTAAATATGATTTGACCGTGACCCTCTGGTAGGTCATGAAGCGATTGAAGTGCAAGCGCAAACGCCATTGCCCCTCGAAGTCCTATCGATGTGCCAAAATGTGTACCACTAATATTAGTGAGTAGATATAGAAATGGGAATCAGGAGACAAGAACAAAAGCAATAAACTCATCTCACCACTATACCAAAGGGCTTTTTGGTGCTTCATAGGTATCTTCTGGTGCTCCTGTCTAGCTAAATTGACCAAATATGCACACCCAAATACATTGACAGCCCTGCGTGAGAAAAATATTGCAAAACGTATAATAAAGCGATCAGCCAGGATGTTAATGAAGCGATCAGCCTGGAAAAAAAGCATTGAGAAGGGATTTTAGTCACCTAGCCACGCCAATAAACAACTGATGTCAGTCATGAAAGTACGCAGAAGCCAAAGGTAAAGTCAAGGATAGACAACACTGGCAAACAATACATACAATCACCAAGGACCAGTGAACGAGGATACAATAGAGAAAAGGATAAACCCAACATGGGACCAGCTATGCTGCTCCATGGCAATATCAAATCCCATGTAAATGAACCTAAAAAGGTATTAAGCAAGTCAATATCAATCCAACAGTTTTCTAAGCTTAGAAATGATTATCTAACAATGAGATGGAATTGTTTTGAACTTACGTGAAAGTTTCTGCCAGCGAGGATATCAAGTGAAAAAAAGCAGATACAAAGCTCTGCGACGCTTCTGAGAGGTTTGAGAAAGTGTAGCGCTTCATAACCTACAGTAGCACTGTATTAGGCTTCGTGAATATGTCTTGCCAGATATTCGCATCAACTAAGATGTAAAAGCTACAATGATTCGGCTTTTACAATTCCTGTGAAGAGTATAGACACAATGCCGGAAAGACCAACACCTTCCGCAAGCATGTATCTGACAGTACAACCAATATAAATTAGGGGGAAGAAGTGTTCCATACATACGAAGAGAGAGGACGAGGAGAGTGGTTTTGTCTGCTTACGAAAAATACGGGAAAAGCACAAAGAGACAACACTCCAAGTTCTGAAGACTGAGGTAGAGAAAATGAAACAGCAAAGACATAACAAAATGCTTAGAAAGTATTAACTATACCAATACAACAGTATAGACGGTCAAGAAAATATGAGGCACTCACTGCTCCGTATCCAATCCTGCATACTTAAAGAGGTGTTCTGAGTTAAGGTTTCACATTACATTTAGACATGCAACAACTAATAAGCAAAAAAAAGGAAACTAGGAAGGATATCAAAGCTGAAGTGAATCCAACCCCAATCCCTGCAGAACAGTATTAAGACTGTTAGTATCTCTAAGCAATATTATGAGGTCAGTGAGGGACTGGGTTAGAGTTATTGTTTGACACCGTTGGCAGAGCTATTTTTGTCTGTGATAAAAGAGAATAAAGCAAATAACAGAGTACATTCTGCTTCATGTAAGGAACGGTGAAAACAGAGCTTATATAAATAGAATGAATGTGTATATGTAATTGTTAAGGATTTCAAAGAAAAAAGAAATCCGTGATCCAAGCGGAATAACACTACCTTCACAAATCGAGTTGTTGGTTATTTTGGTTGTATGAATATTCGGAAGGATACCTAGTCTTTCATTGATTGTTTCACTAATAGTGCCCTAGTTTGGAACGAGGAACGTTAATGAGTAGATGAGCCTAATATTGTTAAAAAACTACAAATCGAGTTATTGGTTATTTTGGCTGTGTGAATTTTCGGAAAGATACCTAGTCTTTAATTGATTGTTTCAGTAATAGTGTCTTACTCTTAGTTGGGTACGAGGAAAGTTTATGAGCCGGTGAGCCTAATATTGTTACAAAACTACAAATCGAGTTATTGGTATTTTGGCTGTATGAATCTTGGGAAATATACCTTATTGATTGTTTCACTAATAGTGCCTTTAGTTAGGTACGAGGAACGTCTATGAGTCGATGAGCCTAATATTGATATAAAACTGTAAAGAAGGGTCAGACAGTCAGAGCAGACAGACCTGCAGACATTGAACCAGCAAAAGTCTCAAGAAACCTGATCACCACCATGAGAAAATGTTCCCCAGACGAGGCCTGGCTGTTTACTAAGGACATTGTTCTGCATAGAAAGTTTTTCTATCGTATTTTAATACTTTGCTGGAAAGGTATCTAAGAGGAAAAAGAGTCATGAGGTTCTCATACCTGTACAATGATATTGCCATCTACGAGCCACACCACATACACGAAAACCCATATAATGGAGTTAGTGTTCTGGGTTTTATGTTATATGTTTGCATAATATATACCTAAAAGGAAGAGCCGAGTGTCGCAGGCAGCAGGTAAAGAAACACTCACAGCATCGTTCAAAACTGATTCTCCAAAGACCAAAGCATACAGGTTGACGTCGGTGCCCAGTTCCTGCCATCAGATATTACAAATAAATGTTTGCAGGGCATCATTTTGAAAAGCACATGCTGTCTTCTAATAATAATCCTTGTATCTTTCGGTGGCATCATCACCAACTAACATATTGCACTTAGGGATGAAACTGAAAGTAATACGGAAAGCAAACGCACCTGGAAGATAGACAGTACAGTGACAGGGTCCGTAGCTGATATAAGTGCACCAAACATAAGACACTCAACAAATGGAAGTTTATACATGAGATACATAGAGCCGCCAAGATAACTGCAAAAGGCGGGAAAACCAGATAAGGGTACAAGCGAAATCCAATCAAACAAAGAACCTATTGGAATAAATAAAAAGGGCTTATGATCCTTACACTAGGCCACCAGTGACAAGTGAAGCTACAAGAGTTCCGATGATGGCAAAGGTAACAATGGCTCCAAAGTTAGAAAAGAATGGTTTCTGCACCCGGAAAAGCAGTTGAGTCGGCCATTGATTATACAGTAGTAAGTAAGGAAACTATGGGAAAGAAAGGAGGATAAGCACTTACAGGTTGAAGACTGAAACCTGACTGGGTTCAAAGAATGATGTCAAGGAAAATGACATTCTGCATAGCAAATTTGATATAATGCTTCGATCGTGTTGGCAGTTAAGAGAATTGTAATGAAGAAAGGATATAATATGATGGGAGGCAACAGAAACAAGAAGAAGAACTCTTCGTGGAAATTAAACCACGTCCTGATTCAGAGATTAACAACAAGTAAGCGAGGAAACGATAAAAGGAAATCCTCAGGAAAAAAAAAGTAGGATTCGTCAAGGGGCAAACCTAATACTAGTCTCAGTGTCGGAGATATTAGCAAGTATACCGACGATTAAACCTGAAATTACGACGGAAGAAAAGCTAGGGAGAGGAGAAATGCAAAATTAGAAAGAAAAAAAAGGAAGAGAGGGAGAGAGAGAGAGAGAGATACCAATGAGAAGCGAACCGCTGGCTTCAGGAAGATAGTGGAACCGGTGACGGCGGAGGACATGGCCGAGAACGAAGGAAAGGACGAGCATCATAATCTGAAGCAATATACCAACGCCGGCGGCTTGCTGCTGCTTAACCTGACCCTGGGGGTCGTGGCCCGCCGGAGACATCGGCAGTTCCTCCATTGAGATTGAGATGGACGACCTTTCAGACTTGACGAGCTTGAGTCAAAGAGAGCAAAGGCAATGAAACGCTGTCGTTTCACCGTGACCGTGTCTCTGTTTTTTTTTTTCCTTTTTTAAAAAAAAGCACTCTCGTATACAACAAGAAACAAACTCGATCAAATCAGTTGAACATGTTCTCTTTGGATAGAAAAATATACATATAAAATCAAAACAACGAAGACAAGCTTCTACGCAAAACATGATTCGCTCAGCGACAATTTCCACATTTGTGGATCGACTAGTGAGGAACAAAGCCTCTCTTCTCTTGGGAACAAACACCCTCGTATGGCCTCCTACGTTTGCAGCTTACTTTCTCCATGAGATTCACTCTGATCGTTTTGCTTCTTAAACATGTTTCTTTGAGTCTGTAACTCAGTTTTGGATTGAAACCAAAATAATTGTATCTAATTCAACACAAGCAGTACCTCCCAGCCTCTTTCGATTTTTAATTAAGAGCCTATATAATATTACATTGTTCTTAAGATAACTTCCCGTTTGCGCATGCAATAGAATATATAAGAGTGGAATTGAGTAGAAACAATCAACGAAGCATACTATATTAATCTATAGCTTAGCATTAGAGTCAAGCAAGTAGAAGCTTAGAAGCACATCATATCAAACGCCCCCAATCCAACCTTTCTACAACTACAAATAGGCATTCAAACTCTGACAAATATGAAATATCAAAATACCTCACTTCACCTTTGCAACAACAACATTTAATACACACCACGCACAATATGGCTGCCTCGGTTCATTTCTTCCCTTTTTACCCACCATCCTCCGACCAACATCCCCTCCCTTCTCCATTCCCGGCCCCAACCCATCACCCGGTTCAACCGCCGCCTCCTTCCCACAGTTTCCCTCCACCGCCTCCCTCTTCTCGTCCCCACCAGCCACCTCCACCGCATCACACACTTCCACCGCCGCCTCCTTCCCACTTTGTTCCTCCATCACCACCTCATCCCCATTTCCCACCGCCACCATATCCTCGTCCCCATTATCCACCGCCTCCACCTCACCTTCTTCCACCACCACCGCCACCGAGCCACCATTCAACTGTTATCATTGTGGTTGTTATCTCTCTTGGCAGTTTATTTTTTCTTGCGTTCCTGGCTGCTGCTCTCCTCTGCTATCTTAAGAAAAGAAGAACTTCTTCTCTCAAGACTGAAATCACTAAGTTTGATGAACACCTCAAAGTCCAAGAAGTCGTAGTGCCAGGACCCCATGGCGAACCAACAAGAGTGGTAATGCTTGAAGAAGACATTCATTTGGAAGAGGATATTCACAAGACTGAAAAGCTTAGCCGAGCTCCTCGCGTTAATTCAAATGCCATGGATATTTCAGAGCCTAATCACCACCTTATCGAGCATAAGGCCTAAATCGTTCACTGGACGAAAATATAATCAATCATCTATATTCTCATTATCTGATCAATAAAGACAACATGTGGTATCAAATCTTGCAATCCAAAACTGCATAACTGTGCTGAAATATATGTGCTTTCGAACTCAACACTTGTATGTGGACCATGTACGGCCTGATTATTCGCATGCTCCTACATGTACAATTTCTCGGCTGTATTTGTAATGCCTTTTCTTCTCTAGACAAGTAAGTATACAATGCGCGTATCCAACATCGACTATCGGACCACTAACACAGCGGTGGTACACATAAAGTTAAAAACAGGGAAACTGAAAATTTGACAACAGAGTGGATGAAGCATGGACTTAACCAATTAGATACCAGACAATCAAGGCATGTGTCACAGAACAACACTTATCATCAGTATAAACATAAAAACAAAAGTTCGTGTATGACCGTCCAAATGTTACAGACCATAAGCACAGCTTATGTGGGCATGATTTATTGTACCCTCTAAAAAACAGGATAATGAATCTGCGACAAGCAAAAAAAAGGCCAATTTATCTCACGAGGACAAACCCTCGTATCATCTTCTGCAGCTTGTCTCTGTCATATCTCGTACAAATACTTTTCAAAGAGTTTCATGTGTTCAGACTGGAGAGCAATGGCCACGGATAAGCTGCCATCATTTGTAGGACTAGGAAGCACAAAGGACAAACCCTCGTATGGAATGCCACCAGGTCCCATGAAGATGGGGCGACCCCAACCAAAGTCTGCATCGTAAATAGGCAATCTGACCCAGCTTGTGATTCCCAAATTCGGACATTTGTAGGTGTGTGCACCGCGGACCAGGGCTGACAGATCGGGCTGCATCTCCAGGTAGTCAAGAGCAGACCTCAGATAGTTATCGTCCATGCGAGCCAAGACATCATGAATCAGTCCTGCAGCATACCATGTTGGCTTTGACAGCAGATCCCCTGCAACGGCCAGTGGAGTGGCAGTGAATATGACGTTGCCGAAGTAACCAGGGGGAAGCTGCGGGCGCAGCCTTGACCTCCCATCCGTAGCAATGTACAGTTTGGTCTCTTGATCGTCTGGAAGCCCGCGGGCCTTCCCGACGGATCTCCAGACATGACCTGCCAACATCTCGTATGAGCTGTAGCTAACGGTGTTGCCATCCTCCTTGGATTTAGCCTTGAGAGCAACAAGCTGGTCGCGCGATAATTTGAAGATGGAGACGGTGGTGTTGTCAGGGCCTGATTTGGCGGGATCGAGAGGGACCCTCATACTGGGGGCAGGCTGGTACTCAACATGATGGAAAGCAGGCTGAGGCGGGTCCCTAGCGCGCAGGAGGGTACGATCGATGAAGGGTGGAATGGTCAGGTCAAGACCACGGGCCATATCAGACCATGTGTTGATGAAATGGAGACCGGAGAAACCATCCGCCGCATGGTGCTGCATGCCAACCCCAAGGGAAGCCCCACCACATTTAAAATAGGTCACCTGAAGATGGAGAGCCAATCAAGCTTGGAAAAGAAGAGCCAATCTCTAGCATCAATGAATGGTTCCGTACTAGTATGAGGCCTAGATACTAGAGTATATGGAAGTAGGAAGTAAGTGAATCCTAAATTTCAGCTGACCTGCAAAACGAGAAGCGGGAAGGAATGAATGCCGGGGGAGTGATCAACATCGGGAATAAGCTGGCGGAGATTGAGGGTGGGAGCGAAGTCCCCAAAATCGTCGATGACGGAGGGGGTATCGGCGACGACGAAGAGAACGCCGGCGGCGTTGCAGTCGATCTCGATACGGCCATCGTCGTCCCTCTTCAAGCGGCCGGCCATGGGGTAGAAGGGGACCAAGGCCTTGGAAAGGGCCTCCTTCATGACCTTGGGGTCGAAGAAATTAGGGGAGCCGGTGGGCCTGTAGAAGTAGACACTGGGGGTGTGGAACCTGGGGATGACGAGGTCCACGTTCGAGTTCCATAGGTAAGTGGAGGGGGTCTCGGCGGCGGGCCGGACCATGGTCGAATCCCGGATGTTAATTTTCATAGTTGGATAGATTCAATCGAGTCTTTTGTTTGGAACAAAAACAAGGTTGAATTAGACAAGGATGTGAGGGGATACAGAGGGATATATAAGTTGGCGGGTGTGTTGTGAACAGCCAGACGTCGCAGTCCTTCACCTACCGCGCCCGCCTACTCTCTATTCTCACCAACTCTCTCTGTAATGCGCAATGAGGTCCCATTTTCCTTATCCCACTCCTCCATCCCCTTCCGCGGGTCCCACCCCTAGCTGTGTCTCTTACTGTTGGGGTTGGTAAACCCGTTTCGGACAAGTCTCATTTCAATCTCTGGGTCTAATTTTTGGGATCAAAATATTAAATGTTATCTTATACGAAAACTTGATCTTGTGGGTCTAACGGATTTAATTAAAGCCCACTTAAAAAGCTACTATTCCAGTAAAGGAAGAATATTCTTCGTCACAGAGTATTTGTAGGTTTGGCCCAAAAAGGCCCATAAGAAACTCCACCTTTTCACTTTGGAACACAACCCATCCCCTTTTTTTCTTGCAATTTCTCCTTTGCAACTTCCGGCGATATATCCCGATGAATCACGCCACTTCCTTCTCCGAAACCTAGGTTTCTCTGATGTCAACCACGTCTTTTTATTGTGACGGTGCAAACTCAAATTCGTTAGCGATTTCGTATCTCCGGAATTCGATTTCAACATTTCAGCTCCCGTAGATGATTTTCTGATGTATTTTTCGCCATTACCCTCTGCAATCTCAGTTATTCTCAAACTCTTGTCAATTTATTCACTGTGACCGCTTGTGCTCAAACCCGTTTGAATTATGAAATTAGCAAATCTCAAGGCTTCGACTTATTCCCTTCGCAGCGTTTCCGGTGGGCGATTGGTGCTTTTCCACTTCCCTGATGATCTTAGGTAAACCCTTTTCTGACCTGAATCATCTCCTTTGTCTCTGTATCTGCTGATATTTCCAAGACATACTAACTTGATTTCACGAGTTCTCCTCCTGCGAAACACTGAGGTTTTGTTTTCTTTATTTGCAGCTTCTTCGACGATCCTCTGCGTTTCTTCCGCTGTTCTTGTGACCCAAGGTGACTCTCTTAACCTGATTCGTACTTCTCTTGCCCTGTCTCTTTAAATTTTCTGAGACCCTGAGAAATCTTTACATGATTTCCTTATTCTTCACGACAGCTCCACCTGGGAGCAGAATCTCCTTACAGACGCCTACATGTAACTCCCTAAACCCATTAATACTTTCTTCGCTACAGGTAACTTGCAAGAGAAAGAGCCCTAGAGGAAGAAAGCAATATTGTTACAAGCTTAACACGTCAAAGAGAAGACTTAATTAGGTTTCACCGCTTCTCTCTCTGCTTATATAGCTTCTAAGTTTATGATATTTGCAACTAACATAAACCGTGGGCTGGATTGAACGAACATGAGCCTTGTCCAAAACTTTGCTTTCTCTTCATGTATGTACGTTGGCCCCAGAAAGGTCCACAACTGAGACTTGACGAAAGTCAATAATCCGATTCTTTCAATTGGTTTCTTGTAGTAGGGGAAATTCTGGTTCCACATGTTTTAGTTTTTTTTTTCCTTTCGTGGACGATGGTTTCGCTGATTGATTTTGTGCATATGTTTACAGAAGCTGGGTTCTTTGAATAATTAATCTTTAGAGTATGAACGAAGAAGGCCGCGTCCCGCACTTTTCTGGTTAGTATGTACTCTGTACGATGTCTATATATATTATAACATTTTGTAATTCTTGCATCGCCTCTCCTTCTCTGACGTGGGCACTGAGACCTGTTATCGCTGATCGATCAATCTTCTGTTTGACACGGACTTAGCTCATCCGCCAATTTGTTTTTCTAATCTTCGTTGTTGCAGATGGTATCAAACTAAAGTCTATAGATCAAAGAGCCCCTCTTCCCGGGGAGCCTAAATGTGTTATCTGCGGTTGTTACGGTGAGTACATTTGTGATAAGACCAACGATGACATCTGCAGCCTCGAGTGTAAGCAAACACTCTTGACAAGGGCTGACAACACTAGAGTGTTTCCTACCACAGATGAGTGTTTCTATGTTAGAGACCCAGGATCTTCTTTTACCGATACTCAACTGCTTAGAAGCAAGCTTGAGATTCATGTCCAAGGTGCAGCAGTCCCTCCTCCTGTCTTGACTTTCAGTTCATGTGGCCTTCCTCCTAGGCTTCTTCTCAACTTAGAAACAGCTGGATATGACCTTCCCACTCCTATCCAGATGCAAGCAATTCCAGCTGCTTTAAGCGGCAAAAGTCTGCTCGCTTCAGCAGACACAGGCTCCGGGAAGACAGCTTCATTTCTTGTTCCTATTGTTTCTCGTTGTACAAGGTATCGCTCTGAGAATCCCTCAGACCAGAGGAGCCCCTTGGCTATGGTGTTGGCTCCAACTAGAGAGCTCTGCGTCCAAGTTGAAGATCAGGCAAAGATGCTCGGAAAGGGACTGCCATTTAAGACTGCACTCGTAGTAGGTGGTGATCCCATGCCTGGACAACTCTACCGCATTCAGCAAGGTGTGGAATTGATCATTGGTACCCCAGGTCGGCTTGTGGACCTTCTAACGAAGCACGCCATCAAACTAGATAATATTACGATGTTTGTGCTGGATGAGGTGGACTGCATGCTTGAGAGAGGCTTCAGGGATCAGGTGATGCAGATATTTAGGGCCTTGCCGCAACCACAGGTCTTGCTGTTCTCTGCGACAGTCTCAAGAGAGGTGGAGAAGGTGGGAGGGTCTCTAGCGAAGGAAATGGTTTTGGTATCCATCGGTAAACCCAACAGACCTAACAAGGCTGTCAACCAATTGGTTATCTGGGTTGATGCAAAGCAAAAGAAACAGAAGCTCTTTGAGATTCTTAGAAGTCAAAACCATTTCAAGCCCCCAGCTGTTGTTTATGTGAGTTGTAGAGTTGGAGCAGATCTCTTGGCTAATGCTATAACTGTGGTCACGGGGATAAAAGCTCTATCAATCCATGGGGAGAAGCCAATGAAGGAGAGGAGAGATGTAATGGGTTCGTTTTTGGGTGGAGAGGTGCCTGTTCTCGTATCAACTGGAGTTCTAGGCCGAGGAGTTGATCTTTTGGTGGTAAGGCAGGTAATAGTGTTTGACATGCCCAATACCGTCAAGGAGTACATACATGTAATTGGCAGGGCCTCGAGGATGGGAGACCAGGGCAGTGCCATTTTGTTTGTGAATGAGGACAGCAGAAATCTATTCTCTGATTTGGTTGCGGCTTTAAAAAGTTGTGGAGCAGCCATACCTAAGGAACTTATCAATTTGACATCGAGGGAAATGCACAACAAGAAGAAGAGGAGGGTTGGGTACTGAGATGTATGACCTGGATCCGATTGTATGTTGTAGTAAATTAAAGAAATGTTAAGGATATAGCGAACAGGTTTACCTTGCTAATATGAAAGAAATTACATTGACTTAGGGGTTGTTGAACGCAAAGCTATATATATTGGGATATTGACTGACTCGTGGGTAGGACAAAAGAACGCGGTTTTGCTGGACTGCCGCCAACCAACTGCCAATGTCTTAATTAACTTTGTTTCATCAACCACCAAAAAATCTCGCAGCCGTCGAAGGAAAGGTCGTCTACATCTACTTCCTTATTTTCATTTCTCCTTCGCACCGGAAGGTATACAATCTTTTCTGCTCTTTGGAATCCTTATCCTTTGCATCTGTTTTAGATCCGATCATCCCGACGGTGGTTGATGATTGGCTCATTCCCAGATCCAATCGATTCGTGCATTTGTAATCAAATTTTCCACTTTGCTCTTATTCTTGCGCTCTCCCTTTCCGATTTCACGCTCTTTTTCATCTTCTGGCGGCGCCGTTATCATGTCTTGATCTCCTCAATTTATTACTCACGAGGAACACATATTTTAAGTCATGTTTATAACTCAAATCAATGAAAAATTCCTTCATAATGTGGTCCAGCTTCCTATTGTAGGACTACAAGAGTTTCTTTCTTCACCTGTTGAAGCATCTACTACTTCACAAGAAAACATGGGAGAATCTTCGAGTTCAACCTCTTGGAACAGTCAAAAGGATACGGAAGATGATCGGATGATTGCGCTTATGTTATCTGAAGAGTACACTCAACTAGATGGTGCAGTAGGCAGACGCCTCTCGAATCTTGCTCCCGTCCCTGTAAGTTTTGTTCTAGTCTCTTTCGTACAACTACAGTTCACAACGAATGCATGAGTATCGCTAGAGATATTATTGTACAAAATGGAACCTTTCTACATGCTTAGCTAGCTCTCTCTCACTATGTATATATGTACTTGTTTTGCAGCATGTTCCACGGATAAATTCTTATATTCCCAATTTAAATGATGCCACCTTGGATCACCAACGCCTTCTTCAAAGGTTTTTTCCGATGCCCTCTTCTTCTTCTTTTCTCAATCTACCTAGGACGCTCACTCGTTGTTGTGAATATGTTAGTGTAATCACTGTATAATGCTTCCTCTTAGAAAGGCAAGCTGAGAGTAATTCCCTAGGATGCTTTATTTCAGATTTAATTGTTAATTCTTAAGTTTTATTGTCTTTGCAGGCTAAATGTTTATGGTTTGTGTGAGTTGAAAGTCTCTGGTGATGGAAACTGCCAGGTGATAGGAGGCTAGATTTCAAACTATCTTCTTCATCTCATTTTTATCTCTCTCTATCTGCTCGTGTACTCATATCTTATAGACACATTTGAGTTTCCTTTCAGTTCCGAGCACTTTCTGACCAGTTGTACCGATCTTCAGAGTACCACAAGCAACTTAGGGAAGAAGTAGTTAAACAGGTGAGTTATGGGCGATGAACAAAGGCAGTGACCACCTTTTATAATTAGCATTAATTCATTGTTGCAGTTGGACGTATTCTTTAGCGAGATTGATATCTGTTTGAAAATTCGGTGCACACATCACTTTTCGTACCTTATTTCCTAGTTGTTCTTTTGTTTTGTCTTGTT